CCTTTTAAACCTTAAAGCCTTAAATATAATTAAAAGGTTTATTGAATAAAGGGTTTAAAAAACGTACATTTTATTAATTTACTAATTTAAAGTTATTTTTAATTACTTAATAACGGCTTAATATTTATAGCTAAGGCTTAAAAAAGTAAAAGCGTTAAATGCTAAAATTAAGTAATAATTAAATAATAAAGATTAAGGGCTTAATTATATTAACTTTAAGCCTTAGGACTTACACTTATATATCTTCGTTAATAAATCATTCACAAATAATTAAGATCTTAACTTATAAATTAGTTATATTATTATTTTAGGAATTAAATAAATCACCGATTAAAATAATAAAATGTAAATTACCGGAAATATTATCCATTAGTCATCCATTAAATGCAAATGGATTATATGTAGTATATTAGCTAGTAAAATTTATAAAATAATCCAAGGCTTTAACGTTAACTATGTCATTTATTACACTCTTAACACCATCTTAAAACGGCTATCGCTCCTTAAAATTCCCCTTATACTTTACATTAACTCCTTCTCGTTATATTAATGTTTAATCTAAATAAAAAACATAAATAAAAAGCGATTAATAATTGATTTAATAACTCTTTAATAATCTTATAAAAACCGGGAAATAAATAACATCCGTTAAATCTAAGGTAATTACAACCTAACTAATATTATAACCAAAACATCTTTAAATAAAGCTATAAGGATATTAGTGGAAGCTAATTAAATTAATTTATAACTAAAGGGATAAATTAAGCATAAAACAAATATAACGTTCGTAATTAATTAATTGCGAAAAGAAAATAAAGTAAGTAATAATTATATAATAAAAGTACATACCAATGCGGTACGTATATAACTAAAGGAGGTATTTATATAACTTAAATTATATAAAAAGTTAAATCTCCTCTTTACTTTTAAATTTAAACCTCCCTCCTTAAACATTAATATTATATTAATCTTATCTTTATTATTCTTACTTTACTTATTATTTGTTTTATTATACATACATACCTATTAATATATTAATTATAAGCTTTTAATATAATTTTTTAATTTAATAAATATAAATAAAATATATATTAAATAAATATCGGAGTTATATATATTAAATGTAAAAATTATATATATTAAAAGTAAGCGGAATTAAATAGTTAATATATTATTAAAAACGATATTCTTAAGGGATAAATATAATTAAATAAAATATTTAACACCGTTTAATAAAAAAAAGCTAAATAACTTTTAGGTTTAAAAAAATAATGTCGGTAAATATTAAACCTTTCTTAAATTTATAAAAAAAAAAAAAAAAGAAAAAATAATAAACGATATCTTTAACTTATATAAATAAAACCTAATAAATATTATCTCGTAATTTATTAAATTAATAAAAAGCGATAAATTTAAATTTATTATTTATTAATAATGGAAATAAAGTAATAATAAGGATAAATATAAGGCGTTATTAAAATCGTTAAAAGGTTTAATATTAATTTTATAATTAATAAAATTTAAAACATTTTTTAAATACACTTAAAATAATTAATATATAAATATATATTAAATACTTATAAAAAGGATTATTAACTTATTAAATCATATAAAATCACGTTTTTTATAAAATAAAACGAAATATTATAAATTTTAAAACGATAAATTATAATATAAATATAAAAGTTATTAATAAAAATGTTTTTATTAAAAAAAAGTAATTAAAGTATTTTAAATAACTTATAATATAAGTAAGCACTTCTTTAAAATAATTACGTTAAAACGATTAAGTTAATTTATATATTAACCTTATATAACTTAAAATATAATTAACTTATCTTAACAAGCTTAGCTTAAAAATCAAAAAATGGCGGGCTGCGCCCACCAACATCATTTTTTAGCCCGTGCACATGTACATGTGGGGCCAAAAAAATGATGTTTTTTAATTTCTAGTTTAAGCAAAAACCGTAAATTGCGATAATATTTGCCACAAGAACTTAATTCAATTAAAATATGTTAAAATATCATCATGCTCGCTAATAACCACGCCATAACAATCTTATGAAATGATTTCAAATTAAGCTGGCAATTACTTCATTGCAATATTTAACCTTAAAAACCTTTTTTATCCGGTCGCGACGTTTAAAAGGCTTTTAAAAACGCGACGTTCCAATCCATTCCAACCCATTCCAACTAAAATCATATTAAAGACCATCATGCTCGCCAACAACCACGCCACAACAATCTAATAAAATTACTCCAAACTCAGCTAGCTATTACTTTATTGCAATATCTAGCCCTAAAGACCTTTCTCATCCGGTTGCGACGTTTAAAAGGCTTTAAAAAGCGCGACGTTTAAAAGGCTTTTTTAAAAAGCTTTTAAGGCGTGTCGATTACTATCCATTACAATCGCGTTAACGCCGCGTTAATAATAATCCGATCCGGCCCAACCGTAAAACAGCTTATAACTTGCCTTATAAACGTTCTTAAATCCTATATTTAAGTTAATTAAAAACTTAATAATTAATAAATAAAATAAACGTAATTAAATATTTTTATTTAATTAATTAATTAATTAATTAATTAAATTAATTATGTTTTAACGAAAATTTAACATTATAAGCTTAAACCATAAATTTATGTTTATTTTTTTAACTTACTTAATTATTATAATTAGTTAAAAGCCGATATAATTGAAAAAATACATAAGCATAAACTTTATAATTTAAGTTCACTAAAATAATAATTAATTACATTAAAAATTACCTTTTTTATACGTATTATAAGCCGTTTTAACCTTTAATACCCTTATAACTTATTATTATATACATATTTTTACAGGTTTTAACCGTTAATTTTATTAAGCTATTTTTAATGAGTGTTGCTATCCGTACTCCTATTTTTTGCTATCGGGGCTTTATTCGTACTTCTATACATCCCATACATCCCTTAAACCTTAAATCCGGGCCTAATCTAGCGCCCCTAGCGCCCCCAGCTGCCCACATCAATCCAATCCAAATAACTCTCTGAAACATATGGTTACAAACGTGCAACTGGATTCAATTAAAAGACGCTTCAATTCCGAATTGATTGATACCGGTCGCAGAATGAGGCGATACTCGGTTGCAAAGTTATTCAAGAAAGTAAGTGGGAGCCCGGGAGGCACGTGACAGCTCCTGGGCCACACTAAGGGCCCTTAGCGCCCTTGAAGCCCTTAGACCCAAACCTTATTCAACAGTTTCAACTTTGAATAACTTTCTGAAACATAAAGCTACAAACGTGCAACCGGATCTGATTGAAAGAGAATTCAATTACTGATTGATTGATACCAGCCGCAATATGGGGCGATACGTGGTTGAAGAGTTATGTTGGTATTTGTCTCGACAGCAGTCACGTGACACTCCTTAGCGTGGCCCGAGCGGCTCTAGGGCTCTTAGGCGGCTCTAAGGGCCCTTAGCGTGGCACCAAGAGCTCTTAGTGTGGTTTTAAGGTTAGTCACGTGCCGCCCGGCTTGCCACCTACTTTCTTGAATAACTTTGTAACCACGTATCGCCTCAATTCGAGACCTATATCAATCAATTCAGAATTGAATGCCCTTTCAATTGAATCTGGTTGCACGTTTGTGGCTATATGTTTCAGAGAGTTATTTGGATTGGATTGATGTGGGCAGCTGGGGGCACTAAATTAGGCCCGGATTTAAAGTTTTAAGGGATGTATAGGAGTGCGAATAAGGCCCTAATAGCAAAAAATAGGAGTACGGATAGCAACACTCTTAATAAAATCTTTTAAATTATGTTAAAAAAAATTATTAATCCGTTGCTAACGAAAACATCGATAAAATCTATAAATTAAATATTTTAATTAATAAAAATAATAATAAATGTAAACCGTTAACACATAGAAAATATTAAATTCTCGTTATATAAGATTCTTTATAAAAACTTATTGGTTAAAACATTTAAATAAAAATACCCCTTAAAAAACTTAAGCTTATTAATACGTTATTTATAAAATAATAAAATAAAGCTTTTCTTGGTTAAAAATCAGCTTAATAATTTAATAATAAACTATTTAATAAGGTTTTAATATTATTAAGAAATAATCCTTTAATTAAAAAAGAAAAAACGGTTAACACATAATTATATATATACCTCTCACACACCTTAAATAAAAAAAAATAACCTGGTAATAATTTACCAAAAAAATAAAACCTTAAAACTTTAAAAAAAATGGATAAAACCTTTTATCGTAAAAACATAAATTAAATAATCCTTATATTAACTCCGTAATTTAAATAAATCTATTATTAGAAAAATAATATATTATAAAAACTATTTTAAACATTTCTCCCCTTAAATAAACTATTTTTAAATAGATAATAAATTAGCTTTACCCTTATAATTATAATTATAAAAAAAAAGGTTAAGGAAAAAAAAAAACAAATAAATATAAAAAGAAAAAAAAACGCTTATTATATTTTTATATTTCCTTTATAATTATATCTTTATAATTTTTTTTTATTTATTTTTTTTTTTATTAATAATTTCATTTATTTATATCCTTACTTCTTTTTTTTTTTTTTCTTTTATTATAATCTTTTTTGTTATTATTTTATTTGCCGAAGTTTCCTTTATTAACGTTTTGTTTTTTTTTTTTAGGATTTTTATTACTTTTTTTTTATTCTTTTCCTTTTTATTAAAAATTACAAGATTTTTTCTAAAAATATTAAACTTTATTACATAGTTTAAGAACTTTTCTTATTATATTATCATAATATTATACCTTAAAAAACGGGCCGTTTATTTAACTTATATCCCCTTTAATAAATATTATAACAAATACCATTTATTATAAATAAAATAAGAAAACATAAATAAAAAAGCTTATTTTATAAAAATTAATTTTAGACCTTTTCTCTCTTTTAATACATAGTTTATTTAAAACTGGTAAATCTTTTCTTAAAGTTATTACTAGATATATAGTATGTATTAACTGGTGTAGTTACCATGTAGTTACATAATTATCCTAAACTCTGCGTGCAATAAACCTCGCATGAAATCACGTGGGAACTAATGAAATCATTAAATAATAAAGAATCACTTGGTTTTATTCTTAAGCCTGACGTGTTGCTCCACCACTAGGCAAAAAGTTGCTCAGCCACTCATAATTCAGATCGATCCACCGACGTCCGTTCATCAAGCTTCCTTCAACCTCGCACGCGGGCCAGGCAGTTAATTCATTCCATCATTAGACTTTACCCCGACCCTCTTTCGTTTTATCAAACGAAACTAATACGCCCTACCGTCATAAGAATCATATTAAACCATCGTGTTCATTTGCTTCCTTTTCATAGGCTACCTACGTACAAAGCTTCAAACAACAAATTTCTGCACCCAGATTGAAGATTGACGATTTGACGGTAATCCGATAAGACAATCTCCATCGAGCCCCCAGCCAAACCATTTACCGCCACCTGCGTATCCCTCTATTTAATCCTAGTTCCCGTGTTCCCGTGTCAATTTGGACATTTTTCAGCGTCCTTCGATACAACTACCCGATTCTCAAATTTGCCATGGCTTCTCGAGCAGGGCCTGCAACTAGAGGCGGTATGTCCGGCCGCTTTGCGCAGTTCAAGCTGGTGTTATTAGGTATGACTTCTCTCTAGCCGTCAAGTTATGTGGTGAGAGTTGAGTTAGAACTGACAATTTATATAGGAGAGTCTGCAGTTGGAAAGGTACCTAGGAAAACATCTCTATCCTAACCTTCTCTTTGCTAATTTGTTACAAAACAGAGCTCGATAGTTTTGAGATTTGTCAAGGTAAAACTACCCCTCTATCTCTATATATTCTATATGAGACTGATAAATTCATAGGATCAATTCGACTCCTATCGAGAATCCACTATTGGCGCAGCCTTCCTGACCCAGACCATATCCCTAGACGAAAACACCACCGTTAAGTTCGAGATCTGGGATACCGCCGGCCAGGAGCGATACAAGTCTTTAGCCCCTATGTACTACCGAAATGCCAACTGCGCCGTCGTTGTCTACGATATTACCCAGTCTGTACGTTTCCCCGATCAACGCTAAGTAATAATAAGTTCAATTACTAATATTGTAACGAATAGTCATCACTCGACAAGGCCAAGGCGTGGGTTAAGGAACTGCAAAGACAAGCCAACGAGAACATCATCATTGCCCTCGCGGGAAACAAGTTAGATCTGGTGACCGAGCAACCCGACAAGCGATCTGTGACAACGTTCGAGGCAGAGGCGTATGCGAAAGAGGCAGGGCTCCTGTTCTTCGAAACTTCGGCCAAGACGGCAGAGAACGTCCGAGAGTTATTCACTGCCATTGCGAAGAAACTACCCCTTGATCAAGTCGGACCCCGACATACTAGACCCGGGCAACGACCAGGAGGCGTGAGCTTGCAACCTGAGGGCGCAAATACGCAAGCAGGAGGTCCTTGCGCCTGCTAGAGGCGCTTCTGGAAGCAACTGAACCTCGTTGGAGCCTGGTGTAATCAAGAGTTAGGAGTCCCTCGTATCATATTGATATTCCTAGTATTAGGTTGGCTGTTCATTGTTGTGCCTTTGTTCGGATGGCTCCGATGCGATGCCCGGGCAAGAAACCTCGACCGGCTATTGCGAGACTGCAACTCTGCTACTACATCCCCCGGTGTAACTACTGCCATCGCAATACTACCCGCAAGAGATACTGGACGTATTATTTAGGAAGCATGATGGTGGGGTGCGAGATGCTCGGATGTATATTTCATTGGGAGTTTTCCGGCAGGATGGCATACGTTTCTCTTTTAATACCTGACGTTCTTGTTGACTGACTTGCCTTTTTTTTCCTCGTTTTTTTTTCGATTAGGGATTTGGCCACTGGGGTGCATTGCGATGATGGACTCACGTAGAGAAGCAATGCAGTACGGCGTGATTGCGGTGCGTACGTATGCGGCCTAGAACGGACATGGACCGAGACTGAAGGTTGGCTCATTACACAGCAGAACGAGTAATGCAATAGAAGAAGCATTTCTTAATAACGAAGACTTATCCATCTATTTCGCTTTATTGTTGTTGATCTCGATTATCGTAGACATATTTATGCATATCATTGAACATTGAATGACGATACTATAAAAGCCCTCGGTTATAATATAGTTATAGTAATTACATAAGCTTAGGTACTATGGATACCTATGTATGATCCACTTGACCGGAGCATGCTTCTAACCAGGATTAGGTGCCCAACATCGGATGTCTACGGTACCTTGTACCTGATAATGCAGCTTGGAAAAAAAATAGCTTCCCCGAGGATTTTACATCACCAACTTTTATTGTATTTAATTTAATACCTCGCTTATCTATAACATCACAACCTTGACTTAGCAACGAAAATCGCTATTTGAAGGCTAGGTCAATGCCCTCATGTTGCGCACATCGTTGCGATCTGTCAGGGCTGTAGGCAGTAGGCCTGCTACTGCTGCTGCCGCCCGTCAATGGCAGCCCGCGATCGCGAGATCACCTAGTCTAGTATGAAGTCATGTCGCAATATAAAACTCCCAACAACCTGCCAACACAGACTAACCTAAAGCCAATTGTTAACAGAGATGCTACGTCGACAACAAGAAACCCTCAATCAACGACTCACGGCCGGCAAAAATACCTACATCTGAAACCACCACGGCTGCATCGAGCAACCCACCCGAACTGAAGACTGAATCTACCATCGCATCGTCAACAATCAGCTCTAAAGAAGTCCCCCAGACACCACCGTCTCCCCCGCCTGTACAGAAGATACAAATCAAGCCATCTACACCACCTGTCGTGCCTATCAGGAAGAAGAAGGGCTTCTTCCGTCGACTACGTAACTATATCCTGACCTTGGTATTCTTAGGTGCTATATCATTCGGTGGTGGTGTATGGTATTCGCGCATCAACGACAATTTCCATGATTTCTTCACCGAATATGTGCCATTTGGCGAGCAAGCTGTGCTCTACTTTGAAGAGCTAGACTACAAAAAGCGATATCCTGGTGGGTTGACTATTGGTGGCCGAAACAAGGATACCGGTGCTCAGGTTAAGATATCCCCTCAAAGTGGCGCGTCCTGGCGAGTAGCAGATACTGGCGAGTCCTCCAACAGACAATCCAGCGCCAAGGGGGATATTGCTGCTAGCAAGAATGCTGCCGCTGCTTCTAACCCTGATAAGAAGAAGGCTCGCCCAGATCCAACAACCGCGAAGGACAAAAAGCCTGCAGCTAAAGGTGCCGAATCGTCAAAGGTTACTGTCTCAGAACCTGTACCGGCAGCCTCATCCCAAGTTGCCGAAAAGCAAGTTGTCGAAAAGCAAGCCCCGGCTAAGAAAGACAGCACCAACTTTATAGCGCCCGAAGTCGACGAGCCCTCTCGATTCCCTCCTGCTGCTCCCATTGATCCTCTGAATGTCAAAGATGCCGATGAGCCCCTGGTGCAAGACCTAGTCAAGATGCTCAATGACATAATTACGGTTGTGAACGCGGATAACTCTGATGACCGGTTTTCGTCCACCATTGGCAAGGCCAAGAACGAACTCAACAAGGTAGGGTCCAAGATTCGCGAGCTCAAGGCAAATGTTGAGAAGGATGCTGCTTCTCAAGTTGCGCACAAGGTTAAGGAATTCGAGGGTGCCGCAAGCCAACTGGTGTCTCATGTCGAGAAAGCAATGGATGCGCAAGAACGACTATGGAAGGTTGAATTTGAGGAAGAAATGAAACGCATTCAGTCAACCTATGACGCCAAGTATCAAACGCAGCTGGAGCGGGAAAGGCGCATTAACGAGGAAAAGCTCAATAATCAACTCCTAGAGCAAGCCGTTGAGCTTAAGCGTCAGTTCTTGCGAGAAATCAAGGACCGTGTGGAGGAAGAACGGAACGGCAGACTGGGCAAGCTAGAGCAGCTCAGCTCGGCGGTCACAGAACTCGAGAAGCTCACGACGGGCTGGAACGATGTGGTGGATACGAACCTCAAGACGCAACAGTTACACGTTGCAGTCGAGGCCGTGCGCGCCAGTCTCCACGACACAGAGCATCCACGCCCCTTCGTCCGTGAGCTTGTTGCCCTCAAGGAGATTGCCACCGAGGACCCGGTCGTCAACGCCGCCATTCGTTCCATTAACCCCTCCGCGTACCAGCGTGGCATCGCCACACCCTCTCAGCTCATCGACCGGTTCCGTCGCGTTGCTTCTGAGGTCCGCAAGGCAAGCCTGCTACCCGAAGACGCAGGCGTCGCTTCCCACGCTTCGAGCTGGGTGTTGAGCAAAGTACTCTTTAAGAAACAGGGACTTGCCGTAGGTGATGACGTCGAAAGTGTGCTCACACGAACACAAACCCTACTCGAGGAGGGTAATTTGGATGCCGCAGCGAGAGAGATGAACGGACTTCAGGGGTGGGCAAAAACACTGAGCAGGGATTGGCTTGCAGAGGTTAGGAAGGTTCTTGAGGTGCAACAAGCTCTTGAGGTAAGTTTGCACCCTTTTCATCAACACTTTAAAGAGTAACAGCATGCTAACGAGAAGAACTAGGTCATTGCTACCGAGGCAAGGCTACAAAGTTTAAGGGTAGAGTAGGCATCTCCAGATCTGGGGCATAGCGGGAGCGGAAAATATAGAAGCATCCTCTATTTCTTTACTTTGTTTACGCGTCCTCCCCCTTGTACATTTGTGTCCTCTCGTCCTCCCTACGTGTTTGGTCCCTTTACTGTAGTGGTGTTCGATTCAAACTGAGTGGGTGGTGAAAAGGGAGTGTGATGGAATAGGGGAAGGGGAAGAATCTTGTGAGGTGAGAGTCTGTATAAGATAGCAGCAAAAATAGACACGAGGTATACCTGACTGTTTGAGTTGCTTTGGTTTTGATGTGAATGCTTCTGGATGGAAAGTAGTACTGACTACCACTTCTATGCATTATCATATGGACGACCACGTAAAACACGAAAATGTATTTTCAATTTAGGCTTATTGTTGAAAAGCCCTCTGAAAACCAACCTAACCTTAGGTAGGTATGATTAGGCATAGTCTTGTAAGCAGAAGCTTCCTACCTACCCCCCTTTTTTAATACGAGCCATCTTGAACGCCATCAAAATTACTTCTTCGTTACCTCATCCAGATCATCAAATGCCTAGCTAGGTTTTGCTTGTCAGATCAGTAAAGCGACTCTGGCTCTAACGTCCTCAGCACGGCACCTACAAGATGCAAGCTCCCTGTGGCCAGAATAGCGACTTTGACACCACCACCGCGTGCCATCCCTTTGATCTTTTCAACAGCTTCACCGACGTTATCCGTGATGCTAATTTCCGTTTGCGGAGATACGGCCCGCATAGCGTCCGCTGCCATCTTCTGAACCGCCAAGTCCCGTTCCGACTGATCTGTAGTCCTGGGATGTAGCTCGTTGCGTGTGAAAATAGCAGAGTCGAATACACAATCCTTCGTCGCAGCCATCGCTTTCTCTCGTGTTTTCTCGATACCCGCAAGTAAAGTACGTAGCAACTTTTCCACATCACGCTCCTGTTGGTTGAACAGCAACACCACCTTCGTATTATTGTTGCCATCGTCGTTGATGAAAAGCTCGGATTTACCCGCAAACCACTTGGCTACCTCCTGCATGCTTTCCGCCGTGTGCGCGCCGTCGATGAGCCATGTAATATCGCCGTCTACCCTGGTTTCGCAGCGTCCCCGTAGTCTCGCCGCGCGTAAGTCATCTGCGAAACGTTCCCCCAGGGCCGTCAGCGTAATGCTCTCCTCTTGCTCATCCACACCCCCACTCAGCATCCTTAAATGCTCACTCGCGGCCCTAAGCGCAAGTGCTTGGTTATACCTCTGAAACCCACCTTCGAGACCTCCCTCTGTCTCGACTCCTCCCCAAGCCTGCACCTCGCGATCCTCCACCTCCACTAACATAGCTCCCTTCTCCGCCGCCCGTGTTCTCAACACACGCATAGCCTCTTCCTTCTCCTCCCCATCACTTCCCCCCTCAAGACGACGTGTAAAGCACTTCCGACCCTCTTTACATACCCCAGCCTTATGCCACGCAATCTCGGGCAGGGTGGCCCCTAGCATCCCAACATGGTCGATCCCCAGCTGCGTGATAACGGACGCAGTAACGGCTTCGGCTGGCAGCACGTTAGTGGAGTCAAACTCGCCACCGATGCCGCATTCGACGACGGCGGATCGTACGCCCGCGCGCAGGAACGCATGCAGCGCAAGGATGGTCAGGAAGCGGAAGTAAAACGGTTTGCTCGCCGGACCCTCAGCTTCCAATTTCTGCCTCTCCCTCTCCTGCACTGTTAATTCTCCCCCCTCTGGTGACGTGATGATGGCCGCAGCGGACCGCAAAGCTGCTGCTGTAAACGCATCCCATACCTCGAAGAAGTATGTTGTGAATTGTGTAGGCGACAGCGGTGCGCCATCGATCTGAATGCGCTCACGCACGGATAGTAAGTGCGGCGAGGTGTATGTCCCCACGCGACCGGCAATGGGGGCCGCGGTGGGGTGGGTGAGGATAGAGGTTAGGTATGCGCATACGGAGCCTTTCCCTTTAGTTCCCGAAACGTGAATACAGCGGAGACATTGGGAGAGGGTGGCTTGGTTTAGGTTGGCGCGGTGTAGCCAGCTGAGCATTTCTGGGATGGCTTGGGCGTTGAGCTCTTGGGGGGTGAGTTTAGTAGTGGTGGAGGGGCGAGGGGAGAAGAGAGAGGTGATGGCTTGGTTAGATTGGATTAAATCTAGGTGTGCGAGCGCGGACTCGTATGTCCGGGCCATGGTGGATGAGTGCCGTGGAATGACTGACTTGGTTTTGACGTGTGGACGATGTAAGAATGGGCGTGTAAGTTTAAGAGGCCGGGTTATATGTGAAGCTCGGATGGTCGTCAAGTAAGCTGCCATGAATGAACATGAACCCGATTCCCATAGGTACACGCCAAAAAAGGGAACTTGAGTTCTACGGCGTATTAATTAGGTACTGTATTGTACCATAAATGGATATCATAATATATAGTCTAGTATCTTCTTATTCTTACATTGTTAGTATAAGTCACTTTATTCTGAGAGAATTTCATGTTAGGTGAATACTCAGTAGCAGTACTAGGGATAATACGTAATATGGGTTCGCCAGCTGTCGAATAGTGCGTATAGTACCTAGTGACACCCGGCAGACATGTCGAGTGTAGCTCGATTTTTTATCAGCTTGGATTATTTAGGTATTTAGGTATCTAAGAAACCAAAACTCCATATCAATAAGTTAGCCCCTTTTCTAAGAAGAACTTTTCTCTTGCCCAGGAGTTAAATCTATCAAGACCAAAACACCATTTGTAAGGGTTGAGCCGCCGTAAATTCTGTACTTCTTAATAATCAAGGCATCATCGTTCTTCTAGATGCCGTCAAAACCTGCACAACATAGAAAGAAAAAAAAAAAAAAGCCATCTATACCTAGGTATCTATATAGATCAACCGTTCTTGGTCATAGAGCATCCGTGCCCTCTAGTATACCTAAAGCCCCGCCCACGAGATGTAAACTTCCCGTGATTAGGGCCTGAACTGTCTCTTCTTTTTCCAATAATGAACTGCCCAGATCCTTGACATGATTTATGGCTTCTTCGATTGTGGGAACCACGGTTATGTTCGCCTCTGGGTCTAAAGCGGCCCATTTCTCTGCAAAAGCATGCTGCGCAGTGAGCGCCTTGATGGCTTCGGGGTCGTACTGGTGGTTTACGAAATCTCGCTTATACCCCGTACTGGCGTAGGTAACATTTGTGCAGAAGATGACGTGCTGGAATGTTCCTTGCTTTTGAGCCTTCAGGGTAGACACCATACCCTCGAGGAAGTCGACGGCCTCGTTTCGACCCTGCTGGTTAAATATCAAAGCCTTTGGTCCAGTCCTTGTCTTGATTTCGCTCGCAAACCATCTTGTCGCAGTTTTAAGACTGTCTATAGTGTGCGCCCCATCGACGTGCCAAACGATGGGTGTTTCGATCTTGACTTCGCATCTTCCTCTCCACACGACTTGTTCGAGGCCATCGACGAACTCCGTACTCAACGTGGAAGAACCTGGTATAAACTTTGGGTCGACTTTCTTCAATGCCATCTCTGCTAGTGCGATCCCTAAGCTAGCATTCTTCTTCTGGAATGAAGCATTTGGCCGAATGTTGACACCCTTTAGTCTTGGGTCTATCTCCAGGACCTTCAATTGCATGTCCTTTTCCTTAGCTCGTTCTTGAAGCACCTTGGCAGCTTCAGGAACTTGTTCGATGGTGAAAGCAGCGCTGCCGTTCTTCATGATGCCTGCCTTATGCCAAGCAATTTTATCGATCGTGCCCCCAAGCGCAAAGACATGATCTATGCCGAGAGTACTGATACCTGTAGCTACAGGATGTTCTGTGACGTTTGTGGCGTCGTACTCGCCGCCAATTCCTGTTTCGTACACGGCAACATCGATACCCTCTTGGAGAAATAGATGGTAGCTCATCAAGGTCAAAAAGCGGGAGTAGACAGGTCGAGGGGCCATAAAAAGTTCAGCGACAGTCATTTGTCCTGGGGTCTCCTCGGCCTCTCCAAGCCTATCCCAAACCTCAAAGAAGTAGCGGGCAAAGACGTCCTCGCTTACGGGAATTCCATTAATTCGTATGCGTTCCCGTACAGCGATGAGGTGGGGGCTAGTGAATAGTCCGATCTTGCGAGGAATGCCGTGTGACTTTTGATATTTGGAGAGGATAGAGGCAGTGAATGCGCATGTACTTCCTTTACCCTTAGTGCCTGCAACATGTATGACGTTGAGCCGGTCAAGGTCGGAAGTCGAGTAACCAATGCGCTGCAGGTAAATCTGCATTTCGGCAATGGAGGTAGCATCGGGTCGTATGCCGGCCTTGCGACGAGCCTCGATTATAGTGTAGGGAGTTTGGAGGAGATTGAGTGCGTCAATGGCATCCTAAGAGAAAGTCATGGCTCGTCAGCATCCATTATTCATCATCCATCATTCTCACAACAAGAGCCGAAAGCTTGGAAGCAACGAGAGAGGTATACATTGTATGTTCGACTACTTTGAGAAGCCATTGTGCGCCGAAGGATAGGATATACGACTTTTGCTATGTGCGGATAGGAGGTATAGAAGTTGAAGTATCGGAACGCATGATGCATTCCCGACGTCCCAGACCAGTCATTCGCCTAGTATTGGTATTTTCTTCTTTAGGACCAAAAAGTGGTAAAAGAGACGTCGCAAATAAAAATATTATGTACCTAGGCATTACATGAAAAAGAGGATCAGCAGCGATATCGCCGTTTATGTAACTACGCACTATGTCTATGTAGCTTTTATCGCAGATAAGCACCCCTCCTTTTCCCACTTGCATCAAACTGCATAGCCCAACTTAGTACCCTATCTATGATATAGTGCATACATTACCTACTTAGGCCCTAGGTAGGTAAGTACGTCAAGTAGTTACATCAATGATAGTAGCTAGGTAGATATATTACCCTAACTTTGAAGTATTGTCCGTTAAGTGGCTTGCCCCTTTTTGCCTTCACTTTTTTTCTGTGCACACTACATAGGTGACTAGTAGGCCCATACGCATTAATTGCTAGTAGGTTATGTGAATGACATTTGGAAATCACTTTCTTCTCACCACATAGCATTGGAAATTATCTCCTTCACACACGCTGGCTTTGCCTCTTGATGATACCCATGACAATGTCCCAGGCCCAGGGAACGGGTGGCGCAGCGTTGAGCTGAGTGTTGAAATCGCGGACAGCGCGGAACATGTACCATTTCCTGGCTGCATTCTCAGCTGTGGGGTCACGGGAGAGCGAGACTATGCCGAAGCGTCGGCGCACAGGCTGTAGGTCTCTAAGGCGCACGTAGGAGACACGCGGCTTGGCGATTAAGCTCGTGGTCGTGATGGCCAGCTCCGCATCTGCAGACAGACCCTGCAGGTACCGCCGCAGCGCCTCCTCTGACCGCCGTGCGATTCCTGGCAGCCTCACGTGGATACAGGAAACGAAGGGGGAGGTGGAGTACTGGACGAAGATGAGGGGAGCAATAGCTGTAACAGATGCTGGTGCGTGTGTTAGTATTCTATCTAGTAGGTGCCTAGGTAGGCTGATAGAGTATGTAGATTGGGGGTAAAAAAATCTCACTTCGTAGTACAGTAAGAGAGAATCCTTCTTTATCGTAGTATGCTGGCGTGACAACGAGACCGAAGAAGACAAATAGGAATATAGTTGACAGTTTCAGGTAGCCTAAGAATGTGATTCTGGGTGTGCCCGCGTGATACAAGCAAAACCTTTCTGAGTATGCTATCATTAAAAAAAACGAATTAGTATCTTATTTTCCGTATCATCATTCGAATATACGGACCGTATCCTGCTGGGCCTGTTGTAGAACTACGTCTTACCTTGACCGCGGCCAAGTCAATTAAGCCCCATAACTGACTATTTTGCTTCAGTGGCAAGGTGTGGGATTTCGGATGCCGAAAGTGAATAACACTACGTCTTAATGTAGTCCATTGAGTCCTTCGTAAAGCTCCGATGACCAACATGACTGAGGCTGTTATAAGGATGATCCAAGGTTTTATGAACACTGAACTGAATGCGAGCGAGTTATTTATCACCAAGATTAAGTTGTGGGCCGGCAGCTGGTAGCAGCCGGTAACCACCTAGGTTAGGTAAATATACCCACATGTGCATATAGTTATCCATATGGTTATAGTTACTCTAAGCTACCAAATGTGGTACGTTTTATATCAATACTGCTATAAGTTGCATTTGCATATAAAGACCGTAAATAATATTGATCCTACATATGATTACTCCTACGTATGATAACTGCCATTTATGCAATACTCTTCGTCAACCATTCCTGCCACTGCTCCTTGGTCCAGGATGAGCTAATTTCATTGGCTACAACGCCATCGAAGATCACCGTAGGACTAACATGCACCCCCACTAGCCTAGCTACCTTGATCTGAACTTTGAGGTCGTTCGTCACCTTATTTCCGAAGTTTGGGTATCCCCCCTCGGGTACCTTGTCAGAAATGACCAACAAATCGAACACCTTTTTCTCGTCGACGCCGACGCTCGCTGCGAGTTTCGCAAGACGCTTATATGTCTCATTGCGGGGTTCGTGGACGACCGCCTCGTCAAAGTAGCTCTGCTGGTCCTTGAAGAGCGCGTCACTGAACAGCCAGTACTTGTCCGGTGCCACCTGCAGCACGGCGAGCCCTGCCTCGTGCACGAGGGTCGACGACGGATGCCACGGCTGCACTTGTTGCCGGAATATGATCTGTAGACTGCTGGCCCATTTCGGGTTGGCTTTGATGAGCGGCACAACAGTGTGGTATACGGTGCTGAACTGCTTTGCAGAGAATGGGCACACGTAGTCGAGGAATAGCTCGAGCGTATGCACGGCGGCAGGCACGCCGGCGGTGAGGGACGACGGTTGGCCGAAGAGGAGCTTTTGGCCTGCGAACTTGGGGGGTAATGCCATGGTGGACCGTGAGGATGTAAACTGGCGAGGCTTTGGGAATAGATGGGAGAAATTTAGTTTGTTGGTAATAGTTCTTGTACTTTTTGTTTGTGAGGGGCTGTTTGGTTTAAGTCTACTGCACTGAATAAAAAAAGTCCGAGTAAGCCGCATTGGTGACTGATTAGCCAACTTGGGCGGGAGAAGGATGATTTCCCATGGTGACGCCATACGTGAATAAATGTTGCACAAGCTGAGTTGCGATAGATCCACGGATACCCTGTAACCAACCAAAGGGTAGGTACCTACCTCATACGAGTATCAGTAATATTATTATATTATAGGTGGCGGGGTAGCTGTAGCTGTAGCTTACTTAGCATAAGTCGGGGCAATGGGAGGCATTATACAATACATTAAGCTCCCTGAATATTCATACTTACATACCTTATAGCGATATGGGTAGCTATGGTAAGTTGTATTTGAGTTATCTGAACTCATCGAACTCTTGTCAGGCGGATTCGTATCTCAAGATCCCCATCATGCTCATTGACGATATTGGAAACATGAAAACTATCAATACTCGTGACTACTACTAGGTAGGTATGAATCTAGAATCCAACCAGACAGGTTTTAACCTAGGTAGCCGTAGAGTTCTTGTACTCATCGTGGCTTCGTGACAGGTGAATTGTGTAATAGCCTTAAGAGGTAGACAACTATGGTCTCTATTAATAGTCGTTGTTCTCGCCTTTATTTGCTGGCCAATCTATATTTGCTACACCTTAAGTTCTTTAAAACTAAACCGATATTTTAAAGGGTAGGTATACAAATATTCTTACTGAAAAGGCTTAACTTAGGAGTTTAAGGGGTGTATTAAAGGGGTCCACGAAGAAAATGAAAGGTGTTAATATGAAAGATATTCGCATCGCGATTAACTTCATTATTTCCCTTACTTTAGGATGGTTAAATAACAATATCTTATCCTCTCAATTAACCGTTCGTATATAAGTTCTTTCTAACTTAGGCGGATAGGCCGAAGAAGCATGAGAACTAATAGGAGCATTATATGTAAAGACATTATATGTAAAGAAATAAAATGTTTAAAGCTAGGTGGGCAGTACTTGATGGCTTCCCCCTCGCACACAATGGCTACCTCTTAGACTACGGTCACAGCCATAGTCCAAGAGACCTTGGATGAAAATAAGTGGTGTTTAGTCGGAATGAAAAAAGGTGATAAATTATATTCCGGTGTTTAAGTTAAGCAACACTAGATGACGAAGTCTTTGAGCAGTCGTTAGTATAAAAAGGCAACGCACAAAAACCCGCCATCAAGCGGCTGTCTTCGCGATCTAGTCCATTTACTTTAACTTTTAGTACTGGTCAAGATAAACATATGTATCAATTGGATTGAAGCTATTCCCAGTCATTATTTTGTTTAGATATTAGTTACCTACTCCGTTACACTCTTTTACTTTTACCAAAGGGATAACGAAGCAATGTCTGAGAGACAACTACGATCAGCGACCGCAGCGCGACGGGCGGCCAGACTCCCCATGCAGCTACAATGGCTGAGAGAACGAGCGGTGTGAGAGAGCCATCAAGAGAGGAGGCTCGAAGCGAAGCCGTAACCCTACCATTCTTGCGAGACTTATTTGACAGTAACAGGAAAGCCACCCGCCTGATTCTTCAAGGAACTGGAGGAGGTCGGCCACCAACATATAACAGCGAAATTAAAGCCGAGCGTGCTCCCACACGAAATCGAGGATTGGGGCACCGACATTAAGGATGGTAACGAGGAAAAACCGAACGCAGCGACGCCAACCCCCGTATAATGGAACCTCAGCTGCAAAGCGATTGGAAAGCCTTCGTCGCATTGCTCCAACGTTCAAAGAGCGAGATAGACTTAAAACAACTATGGGACTTCGTCTGCCGATTAGACGTCGACCCAGGACGCCACGTGTGAGGCTCAATGCCAGTGCAGATCAAAGATCAATCGTCAAAAAACATGGATTGTAAAAGAGAGGAAGAGAGCGGAACTCTCGACCTCTCAGGCTGGCTATATTTACATGGACAGATAAAGTTCAGCAATAGCTGCGGCAGTAGCTATGGATAGCCGTAGGAGTGGCTACCCATATTCTAATACCACGGGAATTTTATACACGTTAAAGCATAGTTGTTTTGCTAAGACATGGATAGCCACGAGAGTGGCTCTCCATTGCTGTTGCCGCTGCTTGCTGAACCTTATCCATGTATATATAGCTAGCTTAAAAGGTTGAGAGCTTTGTTCTCTTCCTCTCTTCTCTTATGTATTCCATTGACGATTAACTGATCGAGTCCTACCAATAGTGTTATGTTCAGTAAAAGGCCTAACCCTCCAGTAGGGTTAGGGTTAGGGTTAGGGCTAGGGTTAGGGTTAGGGTTAGGGTTAGGGTTAGGGTTAGGGTTAGGGTTAGGGTTAGGGTTAGGGTTAGGGTTAGGGTTAGGGTTAGGGTTAGGGTTAGGGTTAGGGTTAGGGTTAGGGTTAGGGTTAGGGTTAGGGTTAGGGTTAGGGTTAGGGTTAGGGTTAGGGTTAGGGTTAGGGTTAGGGTTAGGG